GATGAACACAGCAGGCCAAGCAGCATCATAGGAGCAGGAAGGCTGACGTTTCGGGCCTAGACCCTTCTTCAGAAATGGGGGAGGGGAAGGGGGTTCTGAAATAAATAGGGAGAGAGGGGGAGGCGGATAGAAGATGGATAGAGGAGAAGATAGGCGGAGAGAAGACAGACAGGTCAAAGAGGCGGGGATGGAGCCAGTAAAGGTGAATGTAGGTGGGGAGGTGGGGAGGTAGGGAGGAGATAGGTCAGTCCAGGGAGGATGGACAGGTCAAGGGGGCGGGATGAGGTTAGTAGGTAGGAGATGGGGGTGGGGCTTGGGGTGGGAGGAGGGGATAGGTGGGAGGAAGGACAGGTTAGGGAGGCGGGGACGAGCTGGGCTGGTTTTGGGATGCGGTAGGGGGAGGGGAGATTTTGAAGCTTGTGAAGTCCACATTGATACCATTGGGCTGCAGGGTTCCCAAGTGGAATATGGGTTGCTGTTCCTGCATATGGGTAGCATCGTTGTGGCACTGCAGGAGGCCCAGGATGGACATGTCGTCTGAGGAATGGGAGGGGGAGTTGAAATGGTTTGCGATTGGGAGGTGCCTCTTTGACCTGTCTGTCTCCTCTCCACCTATCTTCTCCTCTATCCATCTTCTATCCGCCTCCCCCTCTCTCCCTATTTATTTCAGAACCCCCTTCCCCGCCCCTGTTTCTGAAGAAGGGTCTAGGCCCGAAACGTCAGCCTTCCTGCTCCTCTGATGCTGCTTGGCCTGCTGTGTTCATCCAGCTCTATACCTTGTTATCTGAGGTAGTTGATATTTTGGTTTCAATTTTCCAAATCTCCCTTGACTTGGGAATGTCTAATTAGATCAGATGATGGCAAATTTAACTCTTTTACTCCAAAAATGAGGGTAACAGAAAGCCAGTAGCGACAGGCTAATTCTCTTAACATCTGTCATTGGAAAAATGTTGGAAGCTACTTTTAAGTATGTTATAGATAAGCTCAGTGTAATCAAACTCAGTCAACATTGGTTTATGATGCATAATATGTTTGACCAATCTATTGGAGTTCTTTAAAGAGGTAACATACGATGTGGATAAAGGGGAACCAGTGGATTGTACTGTTCTTTCCCAAAAGTATTTGATAAATTGAACTCTCAAAGGTTACTGCAGAAAATAAAGCTCATTATGTAGGGGTAGCATATTGCCAACAATAGATATTGGCTGTCCAACAGGAAGTAGACATAAAGTAGGCATGCAGATTTCAGATTGGCAAGATATGCCCAGGGATCAGTATCAGAACCTCAACTGTTTACAATTTACTTAAATGACCGATAAAGGCAGTGAAGGGATGGTTGCCAAATTTGTTGACAACACAAAGATAGGTAGGAAAATAGGTTCTTGAGAGGTTACAAGGAGGTTACAAAAAGATACAGATTTCTTAAGTGGGTTGGCAAAGTTCTGGCAAATTTATGAACATAACGTGGGAAAATGTGAAATTGTTCATTTTTGGCAGGAAAAACTGTGATATTATAAACTTAAGAACTTTAATAACTTCATGGATTGAATGAACTAACAAAAGATAAACTATTACACAAGGGAAAAAGCAGCAATAGCTCTGTCTGAAATAAACTAATAAAGACAAGGACAAACTTATACAGGAACTGAAAGTAACTAACTATGTCTGGCCAAAGAAGGAGTGGAGGCTGCAATGAACAAAACTACTTTGACACCTGCTTGATAAAGCAGATGTTTTATTGCCACAAAGGACAAGGATTGCCCTGCAGAAGAATTTAAGGAGTTAATCACAGGGAAGCTGTGTCTTCAAGCAATCTGTTAAGGTGAAATATAACAAGGAACAAAGAAACGAATTCTGATAAGAAGGTAGGCTGCAGACTTGCAGTAATTTGGATGAAAGGACTTTAAGAATCATCAATATATCACCTCATAGACATGAAGGACGAACATTTGTATAAGAATCATTCATCAGAACTCCCTCTTTAGCAGAACTCTGGAGAACAACTTTGCATAAGGATCAAACCCTGGACACTTCCAGAGACAGACCACTGTTGGTGGGATCGTGGCCAAGTTCCACCATTTATCAGGTAATAGCCAAGTCGGGTTGTGAGGTTTAACTTGCTTACCTGAGGGATTTTATTTTGATTGCTACATGCAATAAAGTTTAAATCATTGTTTCAGTACCTGATTGTCTGTGAGATTTCTTAATAAGTAGTTGCAGTAAATGTGATGTGTGGCAATTTACCCACAACAGAGCAAAAAAGAAGCATGTCATCTAAATGGTGAGAGATTGCAAAGAACTGAGATGCAGAGATAGCTGAGTGCTAACCTCCCCAACTTAAATATCTTAAATTTCCCCCCTTCCCAATTTTTGTTCCCTCTGCATCCCAGTAGGCTGCCTTCAATTCCCAGAATTGTGTTCCCCAAATTTCCTATCAGAGCAGTGGCCCATGATAACCCCACTTAACTTTCATTGATCTGACCACCAGAACTGACTGTGGCCTATCTTACTGACTACTTGGACTGACAGCTATGACTGATGTGTGACTGGATCCCTCACTGATCTGTGTCCAGGTCCCAAACTGACTTAGCTAAAACTGCTCAGACTGATTGCAGTCTGGCCCACTCCTTCAACTGTAGAGATACAAATTCCTGACCCTCACTACCTCAACCGGCCAAATAAGATCATGAGGCGTAAGAGCAGAGGTAGGCCATTCAGCCCATTGAGTCTGATCCACCACTCAATGAGATCATGGCTGATCTGATAACCTGCAAATCCACTTTTATGCATTTTTCCCCTTTAACCCTTGATTCCCTTACTGAATAAAAATCTGTCTATCTCAGCCTTAAATAAATTTTATCATCCAGCTGCATCAGCTCTCCGGTAAAGAATTCCACAAATTCACAACCCCGTGAAAGAAGAAGAAAATCCTCCTCATCTCTGTCTTAAATGGATAACTCTTTATTGATGTGCCTTCACCTGCGTGTGCTTATTTCTGAATATTAGGTCCAGAACTTCTCGCTACCTTATTGAGATTTCTGTGTCCTGACTAAAAATGTTTCCTGGATACAGTTTATGAATTTTGCTCCTTCCCTTCCTTTGCACATTAAAACTATCCCAATTAATATTTGAGTATTGAAAATCCTCTACAGCCTATTCTTATAGATCTCTGAAATTTGATTCCATATTTGATCCTCTATCTTTCCCTGACTGTTTGAGGTCTATAGTATACACACTACACATGTTTACCCTCTTTGTGTTCTTGTTTTATAATGCTCATGGAATATATCTTTCCTCCAATTTTTTTTCACACCTCCAGCATTAATGGCTAGACAGATCCACCAGATGTGGTGGTTCATTGCTATTCAAATGAGAGGGAGTACCCACAAGCATTCACTCTGGCTCCTGTGAAGTTTCATAGAAAATGACTCAATCTTCCTATTACAAGTGTTTCTGTGACCACTATGCAGTCTTTCTGGGACAAAACCCTGAGGTCCAGCACCAGACATACTTAAAAATAATGTCACTCCAGTGAAGAAAAGAGCTCTACGGCAATTCCAACCCTAAATGAAGACAGAACCAAGCCTATAAGTGCAAAAGATAAGGCTGAAGTGTCTGTGCAATCTTTAACTAGAGGTGCTGAGTAGAAGATCAACCTCCTCCTGAGGACCTATCATCACAGAAGTCAGTCTTTCACCACTTCAGTGACATTATCAGCAATGAATCCCCTGCAATCAACATTCTGGGGATGGGGGTGGTTACCATTAACCAGAAACTTAATTGAACCATTCACATAAATTCTGTGGCTACAAGAACAGACTAGAGGCTGGGAATTCTGTGGCAAATAACTCATCCCCTGAGCCCCCAAAACCTGACCCCTATCTACAGAGCGCAAGAGAGGAGTATGATTGAATATTCTCCACTTAGCTGTATGAGTTCAGCTGTAACAACACTCATGAAACTTGACACCATCCAGGGCAATGCAGCTCAATTCATTCCAACCCTATTTTTCATCTTAACCATACACTCCCTTCACCACTGGTGAAAATGGCAACGAGTATGTACCATAAACAAGATATACTACTGCCAATGCCTCCATCGACTGTCAAATTTGTGGATTCGAAAAGGATCAGGGCAACAGAAGCATGAGAGCACCATCAGCTGGAATGTTCCCTCCGAGCCACACACTACCCTGTGTTAGAACTAAATCACCAATTATTTATAATGACTGGGCTGTGACTTTCTTCCAAGCAGCATGATGGGTATACCGACAAAACATGAACTGCAGTAATTATAAAAGGCAGCTCACCATCACCTCTCCTACGGCATTTAGGTATAGGCAACAAATTCTGACCTCGCTAATGATGCTCACATCCATGAAATAATTTTTAAAAATTGCAATATAGCCCCATTGTCTCTGATGTTCCTTTTTCGGTACTTTTGTGCCTATCCATGTGGCTCTGCAGAGATCAGGGAGCATAATTGTTACAACATATGTTCTTCTCTTCTGTGCTGCAGTGGTTCTGCACCACAAGAGCCAAATTGTACATTTATTGAGACAAAAAATCTCAGAGACCTGTATTCTCTAACTAAAAAATTATCAACTTTTTTTTCCTTGTGGATTAATACTTTTGCTAACTTCAGGTTATACTTGGTTCGCATATTAGTGCTATCAGTATGAGGTGAAGAAATCCAAATAAAATACCTCGCAGAATTTGTCCTAGGAACAAACGTCTGTGGTACCTGATGAGAGAAAAAGAGGTGATCTTTGTTGCAGTAATACATTGTATAACATATAATGTTGAACAGTAAACTGAATTTGATAACTTTGTATTTGATTTGCTGCACGTATCAAAAATTATCAACAAAAAGAGACTGATTATCGGGCTCCTTCTAACAGGACAGTACATGCCAGAGGATAAGTGAATCATTTCATTTCTATTTGTAGCCTAGTCATTTGGTCGCTCGACTATTAATCCACAGGCCCAAGTAATATTCTGGGGACCTGAATTCAAATCCTGACATGGCAGATGGGGAAATTTGAATTCAATAAAAATCTGGAATTAAATCTTATAATGAGCACAAGACCATTGTTGATTGTTGAGGATAACCCTATCTGATTTACTAATACCCTTTAGGGAAGGAGATGGCCTGCATGTGAATCCAGTTCCACAGCAATCTGGCTAACTCTTAACTGTGCTCTAGGCAATAAATGCTGGCCTACCCAGTGACACCTACATCCTGTGAGTGGATTTAAAAAAATGCAAATGTTAGCTTCAAAATTAACAATGTATTAACTTATTGTGAAAATAATCATACTGGCAAATGAAAAGATGAACATGCCATGGTTTCTGCAAAGTGAAATTTAAGCCAAGTTGTCGACTGAATGAAATTTTACCAGTTTAAAGCTTCAATTTAAATGTTATCTGTATAGGTATTGCTTTAAATACAATTTGGATATGTAGTCATCTTACTGGTCCCATAAAAAGCAATCCAGATGTATTAAAATAATAATGAAGCAGTTAAATTAAGATTGGCATCCCTGGATTCACTCCACCTTCTGATAAATTACAAAGGCATTTCATAGCCTAATACATTGATACCTGAGAAACAACACATTGTAAATCATTTAAATTGTTCAATTTCACAATCTCCGGAATGATACATGAAAGGCACCCAACCTGTCTCTGCTGAAACGGGTTATGGATACATTTACAGCCAAGTTCATTGATCTGCATGCAGTTCATTTATCATTCATGAACAATTCCAGCTATAGCTCAGTCTATTAGATGAAACAAATTGCATTGCTTGCCAACTGCAATCATTTGTCAACTTCCCACTCCCAGGAGATTACATCTATTGTGCTGCCTCTATTTCAGCAAGATTACTTCGCAACACAATCGACAGACTTTTCAGGTTTCAATGTGCTAAATGAACAGTCCAAATTGGTCTATGCCATATATTTTTCAGTGTTTTAAGACCATACCATCTGTTTTTGAGGCAAAAGCAAGAGATAATGGGCATTTTATTTAGGCACATCATTTCACAAATGCAACTTCACTCACTCTGTGCCTTGCTTTTTTTTTTAGTGGTATCTCAAATATAGGCTTTTGAGAGTGTGCATGTGTGCATCTGATTAATTTACATACTTTCTATTCCACCAGAGAGTTTGAAAATACAGCTACAACACATACTGTATAAAATGTTGCTTCATGGATAATTTTAAATAAGATCTGAAATTAGCACACTAAGGAATGCAGTCTATTCAATCATTTCTTTCTAATTTATTTTCTGTAATTCTAGCATGTTTCTAGCATGTATTATAACTAGATATTACATGGGACTTGGTTATAAAGCAAAATATATTTGATAATATTAAAGGATTAAAATTTTAAGTCTACCCAGTATAACTCTTGGCAGCAATCTTGAGCCCTGTCAACACAGACGTAAATACTAAGAAAACAGAGCGCAGGTGAAAGGGATCTTTTGTGAATTTCATGCCTCTTTGATCCACCAAATTGAGCCTCAGAATAACTTGAGACAACAGGTCCAGTATATTTCACTGTGCAATAAAATCATTACATTCTGAGCCACATGTTTGAGACAAAGATAATTTGATGTTTTCGGTGCCCATCTGTGCCAACATTCTGAATATGTCACTTTCAAGGACTATAACCACAAATAATGATGTTTAGATGTTAATCACAAATATCAACACTCCAGTAATTTCTATGCATTATCCTCTATCAATGCTCTTAATTGTTCAGTATGATGCCTTGCAATGGGGTACAGTTCTTTAGGCACCAATTGTGCTCTGATATCTTACACAAATAGCCATCTTTCATGGGCAAGTGTCATGTTTCATGATGGTGGGAAAATGGTTGAGGTCAATCAGAGGGGACAATCCAAGGGGGCATCCGAACCTAAGGATAAGGAGAGGGTGAGGATAGTTTGTGGCTTTGGTGAAGGGTGATTGGTGACCTGATTGGCAGTTTGGGATTAAGACTTCTGGAGGGCAGCTTGGTGCTTTGGAATCTAATTGGAGGTATGGCTTTGAGAGATCAGGGACTGGGATGCAAGATGCAGGGCCTGAGAGGAGGTTCGGACACTGGGTATAGGAGTTAATGGACACTTCATGTTGGAGGTTCAAACAAGATACAAAATTGAAGCGTTGCTTAGGTAGGCCACTGAATCCAGTAGGATGTATAAAGGCATCAGATCCACCAAATCCTCACCAGAATGTAGCTGTCAGATTTTCCACAGGTCGACAAATTCACCTCTTGGAATGGAGTGGCATCTCCCGCACATTCCTACCTCATTTAAAAGCAAAGATGGGTGGGTTAAAGATGGGTATGGTTTGGGAATTTGTTTTTTAAGTTTCTCTCCATTCCACCTCCTACCCCCATACATCTGATCCAACCCATCTCTCACTCTGCTTTGATTAAAATTTGCCAAAAAAGTGCAAAGTGAAATATTCCAATCAGAAAGACATTCAAGAAGGATAGCAGTAGTCTTTTTATCAATTAATAATTCTGAAAGAGTTACTGTTGAATTTGCATTAGTTCCACCCTATCTGATAATGTCATACAGTCTTTGGGTTTGAGGCATTGAATTCTACACTAACCTTCATTGACATGTGTTCTGTACACTTCCCAGAAGTTCTCAGTAATAAAGCCTGACTAGTATTGTAAGTTGTAAATATTGATATTATGCAATGAACTATCTCATTAACTAAGACAGGAGCCTCTTCTGTTTGGACTCACAAGTGGCCTATCCTCTACCACTGATATGTGGACAGATCCTAGACACAATATAGACAAAAAGAGCAGCGGCTCTTGTAGTGCAGTGGTATTGTCCCTACCTGTGAACAAGACAGCCTGGGTTCAAGTTTTATTGCTCCAAAAGTGTGTAATAGCATCTCTGTATGGGTTGATTAAAAATACCTATAAAACGGAGAATTCCCTTTCGTCTATGCCACATACTGATAGATGTAGCCGGTGCCTCTAATGCTCATCAGGTTAAATATCACAGTAGTTTTTCTATGTTGTGGAGATTGATAGTATCAGTTGAATTAAGTAACTCTAATTACAATTATTGCTTGGTACATGAACTTTATTGTGGACTAAGGCAACTTAACGATTTGTACTAAGGCATATCTTGTGTAACGTCAACTAAATGAAACACTGAAAAGTTATAGCACAGCAAGGTGTCATTCAACCCATTGTGTCTGTGCCCACTGAAAATAAAACTAGATACCCATTCCGATCCCACCTTCCAGCACCTGGTCCATAGCCATGCAGGTTACACAACTTCAGGTGCAGATTCGGATTCCCTTTAACGGAATTGAGGGTTTTGGTCTCCATCACCAAACTGGGCATTGAATTCCAGACACTCGCCACTCTTTAGGTATTAAAGATTTTCTTCATGTACCCTCTAATCCTTCAACCAATCGCATTAAATGTGTGCAACCTGGTAATTAACTTCTATATTGAGGGAAATAACTCTTTCTTATCTACATTATCTAGGTCCCTCGTGGTTTTGTGCACTTAATTCACCATCCCCTCTTTCTAAAGAAACACTCATTTTCTATCCAATCTTTCCTTACAGCTACAATTTTCAAATGTTGGCTTTGCAATATTCATCTCGTGTATTTTTGAAAACCCCATGAAAAAACACATTGTTAATTCAAACAGCTTCGGTTCTGCAAAATTACAGCATGAATAGCCTTTAAAATGTCATAAATGAAACATTAATTCTGAACTAAGGAAAACTTTGGAAAAAATTCCATCTCCTTATCTTTTATAACCTATCATCAAAAAATATCCTGCTCACCTATTTTACAAACACTGTTATTAGAATCTCTGACAAAGTACAACAAATGGAAGAATCATTAAACTCTGCTTTATATTAACAGAATTAACCCAAAGTATCTGTTCTCTTACTAAACACTTTATCATCAGTTTATACAAGAATGTTGTGTAAATGTGTCCTTTTTAAACATTACAAACTATTATAGGAATGCAGCCACACATACTAAGGAGCCAACAGTTAAAATCCCAAAGGATGTGGAAGTGCCCTGAGTTGCTAAACTAAAGGAACAAATTACAGATGAACACAATGGATCTATTTAGTCAAGAGTTGGCAGTCTGGATGTAGAGTCACTCTGTAGGTAATAAATTTTCACATCCACCAAACATCAACAACTGAAGGTTCAAAAGTCACAAAAAGAACCTTGTAGTAAAATAGGTTTTTGTTGGATGAATAATTCAAATTTCAATTTCATTTATTACAATGAATTGTTTATTTAGTTATTTTAAATTACACCATTTATATATTCTTAAGTCTGACTGATCAGAACCTGATTTTCTTCTTCGAGCACATAATTCATACAACAGTGAATTTCATCAGTTAAAGATGAGGAGGATTAAATCTCTTCCCCAGACTTTTCTTCGACACTTTTTAAGAAAAGTTGAAGAAATATTAACTTTGAAATCACGTCAGTCCAGAAAGTTTCATCACTTCAGTATTTAATTTCGTAGTTCAATTTTATTGTGTCAAAGTAAACTTGTTGAACTAGAATCAACCAGTTCCAAATCATAGCATGAAATATATTGTTTTCCTTTTATAAATTGCTTTTACATGTAAGATTAGTTATATTTTTCACCGTTAATATAAATAGAAGGTCATAGAATCCCTACAGCATAGAAACAGGCCCTTTGGCTAAATAAGTCCACACTGACCCTCAAAGTATCTCACCCAGACCCATCCCCAGACACTGCAGGCAACTTAGCATGGCCAATCCACCTAGACTGCACATCTTTGAATTGTGGGAGGAACCTGGAGCACCCGAAGGAAACCCCCACAGACATGGGGAGAATGTGCAAACTCCACACAGACAGTTGCCCAAGGGTGGAAGTGAACCTGGGTCCCTGGCCTGTGAGGCAGCAGTGCTAATCACTGAGCCACTGAGCCACCATGCCACCCCAATAAATGGTAGATTTTGTGCAGACAGTAAACATTGAAAGATCTCAGAAGCCACTAATGAAAAGATTATGCAGGGCGGCTGTGTATGAGCCAATGGCCTTTTGCTTTTGGCTGTCCAACATTCATGCTCTCATTCTCATTATTTTATTTGTTACAACTAATAATAATCATGGAAGCATTGTTGGTTGAGGGAAAAACCTATCTGGCTTACTAATGTCCTTTAGGGAAGGTAACTACAATCCTTACTTGGTCTGGGCTAGATGTGACTCCAGATCCACAGCAATGTGGTTGACACTTAACTGGTCTCTAGGCAATTAGGATAAGGAATAAATGCTGAACCAATCAATGATGCCCATGTCCCATGAATGAATAAACAAAGATGTGGCTCTCCATCCTCAATAACCATTATAAGTTTCTTTTTACAATGATCTTCACTGCAACCTAATAAACTTTCAATACTCACCATTAGGATCCCTACAGTGTGGAAGCAGGCCATTCAGCCCATCTGTGTGCACATCCTGTAAACACGGAGTGTATTAGACCTGGTCTCTGTGGCATTATCAAATGTGTGCATGCAGGAACCAGAACACAACTGATAACATTAGTGGCTCCTCTAACCTTTCGTCTATTTCACTAACTACCTCTGACAAAGCTGCTCACTGTTGCTAAGCCTTTATGTTCATTTTAAAGTCACTAATGGCCAACACCATGGGATTATCTTCTGCCTGGGGCTGAACAGATTCCTGGTCTACATGGTGCTCTGAGTGCAAGAGACCTGGTACGTTTCTTCCTTGACCTGTTATGAAGATGTTCTAGTGATGTGCTCACCAGATTGTGTCCCCCGAATTTAATCTGGAAAGAGAAGCCACCGAGGTGGATGTCTCTGAGCTGCTGGAGGGTGAAAGCTATGCCTGTGCTTCTTCTTAGTGTTAAGTGGCTTCCTCCTCAGAGATGGAAATGGAGCTTAGAATGGACAGCACTGTTCTCTTTGTTATTCCAGGCCATTGGGTCCCATGAGAGATGAGTGTGAATTAGTTGTGAAGAGTAGGACAAAAACATGTTCAAAATAAGAATGAGTGAGGACTGGTGTTACTGAGAGAGGAGTGCAGCACAGCACGGCACAATGTAACTTGTACGAAAAGGTAATCGTTGTTATTTTATCAGAAAGGAGAAATACACTTAATAAGTACTGATCAAGTTCTTATATTGCCCTCTCTGTTGGGAGGTAGGAATAAGGTATGCTACAATATAGCCATGAGACTCCATGGAGTCATTTCCAGTCTAAAATACCATATAAGGAATTACAGTTAAATAATTTATTTATTTTGTATCTAAGGTAAATGTATAATTAATCTTATAATTGAGTTTAGTGTTTATGTAACTCATCAGATCTAGGGGGATAAAATGATTAAAAAGAAGGTTCTGTATTATTTTCAGATTCAAATCTGCCATACATAATTGAGAATAAGTAATAAAAATACTAAATAATAAAACAAAGGAGTTGAACAAAATGCAGAGTAAAATAATAGGAATTAACGTAGCTTTAAAACAGCTTAACTATTAACTTAATTTTTAAATAATTCTAACAATAACATTCAGGGATGCCAGATTAGGTGGTGTCCCACAACAGCTGGACTCATGAGTCTGTGGCAAATATTGTGATTCCAAAGAATCATGTCTATATTAACTCTGTAGCATCTTAAGGAACTTCAGTTCAGAGTTATTGAGTTGCAGTCCAAGGTGCTGATTGTCTGGGCATCAGGGAAGAGTCACCCGAATATCTTGATCCAGGAAGCAGTTGCCCACTTGCACTGGGTAGTGGTGCAGGCCTGGTTCACAGTCAAGGATAAGAGGCTATGCCTGTCAAAATGCAGTGGCTACAATGGAGCTGAATTTCATGGTGTCTGGCTGCTATTACTTTAAGATCACTGGTAACCCATTTTAAAGGCAAAAGCCTGAAGTAAAAAGTTAGAAAAAGACAGACTAGATTTGGCCATATATGCCATCTCTACTAACCCACCCATAAATATTTCCATGAAGCTGCCCTAAATCCTAGGATCAGCATATACATTATATGGATGTGCACCATTGTCTTTATTGTGGTACTGGATTGTTTACTTCCATGGAATAGAGTGCAAGGAGATTTTGCTGCAACATGGGGAGGAAGCTCCTTAACTGATATTGACTCCCACTACTGAAAGAATGAAGTTCTGGCATGAAAATGAAGACACTGGAAGTAGAACTGGCAAAATTCTTGATTACTTAGATCATCCCATCAAATGCAATTCTGGTGCTGAAGTCCATATAGGGGGTAGCAGTGTGGGGACACATATAGTGCCTGTTCCCACTTGTAGTGGAACCTTAAAACAGCAAAATAATTAATTGAGAGCTGTGTTTACAAAATCCTGCCTCAAATTCCTCCTTTTGCTTTCTAATACTGGGTAGCACAAATACCATTGCAAAGAATTGTTTTTGTTTTATGTGATATTATTTTGTGCCTAAAGTGCTCATTCATTATGTTATATGCAAATTGATTTCTTGCAGCATTAGTCAGGGTGAGGAAGTAAATATATGGTATTATAATGGCAAGAAAGTTATACACATAATGTACAATTTGTTGCTGCACAATTAAGTTTTGTTTTTATGGCTAGTTAAGTCAACAGGACTCCATGACGGTTAAACTGATGTTTATTCTTGGATGGTCAATCTTACCTGTCCACTTTCTTCATCACTATTGATTTTAAGATTGTTTTCTAACATTCTGTGAATTAAGAATAAACAGAAAAATCATAAAATTATAAAAATGCAATTTTATAAACACAATTTTATTCACTTAGAAGAGACTAAATGACAACAGAATGTCAAAAATATTTTGAGACACATACAGCATAAAATTTTCTTAATATGTTGACCAATGTTAATGTGGAGTATGATAATTGCCAGAACATAATAAATTAACATTCAGACAAAGAATATACAGTGGAAGTCCTTTCTAGCATTGTTCAATATACCGCATCATCACTTATAGTGCAAGGTCTCATGGTTCCCAAAAGAGTTAAGTCTTCATATAAATCTTCACCTTGCTAGTTAAAGACAGAGAATAGGAGGTTTATATTAACACAGTCCAGCTATAATGCAGTTTCACAGTTTCAACTCCAACATCCGCAATCTGATAGCTTTCACTTTAAAAGTTCTGTTTATGATGTTTCTCATTGTTCATCATTGCCTCCAGAATTAATGGTATTTTAGACATAAGAATATTACTTTAATATGTGTACTTTTTTCCCAAGCCTTTCAATATATTTATGAAAGATGACTAAACATGTGAAGCTATTAAATAAATTTTAAGCTTAGCTGATATCCGGCAGATCCTGATTGTAAATCAACATCTTACTTATACAACTTACTCTTCAAAGAAACATTACTTTTTACGAGACAGCATGGCTCTTAATGCTGTGATTTAAATAATGTTAGAAAATCACAAGCTGCTGCATAAGTGAACTTCACTATACTTTCTATACTTTGACTATTAAAAAGTACTCAATAAAGTTAAAAGCATAAGTTAACCCTTTGCAATCCCTAATCTATAAGACTGAGCTGTTGTGTCTCACTGTCAATGCATTCTAAGAAATATAAGGCTGTATTTTACCAAAAATCAGCAAGTGCCAATTTTGGAGAGTTTCGTGGAGAGTTTCTGTTGAGTGAGTTCTCCACTACTCATCTCATTAAGAATTCAGCGTGCCTGCATGGCACTGTTCTCTCACACTTAGCAATGGCCAAATGTTCGCCAGTGACAGGAACTCATAGTGTTCATGTTGTGGGTGCCATATTTAAATGCAGCTGTCAACTGTTGCCAGCCTCATCTAAAGTAGCCACTCCAGTCAGTATACTGTTTGTTGTCTAGAGAAATGTCATGCCGCAAGAAGGTTCATGATCTTCTGTACTCTACCTGGGTGAGAGCCCAATATTCTCTCTGCTACCTCAAACACAATCTACCTCTAACTCAGCCATTGCACCGATCTTCCACCAAGGATTATGATCTACCACTCTCAATACTGTATGCAGCATCTTCTCTCAATGACTCTCATCTACCCCATCCCCGCAACATGTCAAAAGGTACTGTCCTCTGTGCTTGTCACTCATTCGGGACATCTCATATCTTTCCTGACTGAGGAAGGACCAGGCCTCTAACTAACCATAGTCCCCTTTGATGCTTCATTGCGGCCAAACAAGACAAGCCTGGCTATCTGTCCACACTAAAGTGCAAGGCAAGCAGATATACTCCGAGCAACCAAATAAGCGCAGAGTGGGTGAACGCTAACACAGCAAGATAAGAGCTCACAGGTGTACCCTGTTCTGATGCATGAGATACGTGTGTGGCCTTGCATGCAAAGCAGCTTGGAAACAGCATTGCAATGTAAGGTGGTGAGCTCCAAAGTGCAGTATTGAAATGCTGAACTGTATTAGTCCCGAATGGGTCATGATGATATAGTGAAGTGGGTACTTTGCCAATGCCAACCTCCATGGACAGAGGTTTCATCAGGGTTGAGCATCTCACCAGTGAACTCAGAGAGGCCTGTTTACGTGCCTGTGCATGCCATTCATGTCTAATCTCGCCTCATTGATATGAATTCCCTATTCTCCCATGTGCCAGAGAGAAACCAAATGGCACAACTCATGTTGCAGCTGTACAAAACTCTGGTGTGGCCGCACTTGGAGTATTGCGTACAGTTCTGGTCACCGCATTATAGGAAGGATGTGGAAGCATTGGAAAGGGTGCAGAGGAGATTTACCACGATGTTGCCTGGTATGGAGGGAAGGTCTTATGAGGAAAGGCTGAGGGTTTTGAGGCTGTTTTCGTTAGAGAGAAGAAGGTTAAGAGGTGACTTGATAGAGACATACAAGATGATCAGAGGATTAGATAGGGTGGACAGTGGAAGCCTTTTTCCTCGGATGGTGATGGCTAGCACGAGGGGACATAGCTTTAAATTGAGGGGTGATAGATATAAGACAGATGTCAGAGGTAGGTTCTTTACTCAGAGAGTAGTAAGGGCGTGGAATGCCCTGCCTGCAAAAATAGTAGACTCGCCCACTTTAAGGGCATTTAAATGGTCATTGGATAAACATATGGATGATAATGGAATAGTTTAGGTTAGATGGGCTTCAGATTGGTTTCACAGGTCGGCGCAACATCGAGGGCCGAAGGGCCTGTACTGCGCTGTAATGTTCTATGTTCTATGTTCTATGTTCTAAAGTGAAGGTCAAAGCAGGTACCAAGTAACTGCCGCATGCCACTTGCTCCTCTGGGCCTTATCTTGGATAGCAGGCACCAACACTGCAGGGCACACAACGTAGGCAGTAACTATGACACCCAGATCCATGGAGATTGGCACCGGACATGTATCAGCCCCACTGAACCATCATGGCATCTCTTATGCTATTTACAATATAGATCTCCACTTCTATACTGCATTTTCAAGTGCACTGTCAGCTTTTATTGTAACGTTGCTGCCATGACATTTTGTGTGCAAGGACAAGCCCCCAACTCATGCATCAGAACAAGGTGCATTTGTGAGCCCTTCATTTACCCTCTTAACACTCACTCAGCTCACACCAGTTGGACACTCACAGCATTCTGCCTTACCTTGACTTTTTGTGCTTTGCTCCCTCATCCAGAACTTAAAGGCTCACAATACTTCGGTCTTGCCTTGCCTTTGCTTGTTATGGTTGTCTGCAGTGATCAGTCAAATGAGTGGGCTTGCTGCTGTGTAGCACCATTGCTATATAAATGTTCCACGTGTGTCATGTGCTAGCTGTGCATGCAGGAAACACATTGCATGTCCTTCAACCAAATGACCATGTTTCAAAATCTAAAGGGAATAGTCTTCTATCAGGTAAAAGGAGATAGGCTCCAGTCAGAGGGTTCAGGCACAGTAAATCAAGGGCATCACCCAATATCAGTCTAAGGGCTTGAACATGATCAGTCAGCCTCAAATGCAATCCAGCTCAGGAGTATTTGCCTCTATAATCCAGGGAGTGGACCATGGTCAGTCTTGCTAGTCCAATTCAACCTGTCTGGGGAGTCACTGTAGGTCAGTTGGGAAACTGCACAGATATCAGTCAGGGGTTCACTCTGTTCACTCATAATTTGGAACTGTCGCTTGAAGTCAGTCAGAGGTATGCCACGGTCAGTCATGGGGTTCTGTTATTGTAAGTCAAGAGGGGTTATTAGGGACCACTGCTGTGGTTGGGAAGCAGGGGAACTCAATTTAAGGATTGGAGGCAGCATGATGTGATGCAGAGGGAATAATAATTGTGAATGGGGAAAATCAACATATGGCAGACAGCGACAATAGAGTACAGAAGGGCAAGGGGTACTGTAGGAGTGGAGAGCACGTCAAAGGTAACCCCACCCTGGCTTCAATGGAGGGACAGTCCACTGTTATGTTGGCAAGACTACAGAATATGCCTGAGTCTCAGGGATAAAGTGGGCAACATGAACAATTAAATAAAGGGGTTGAATGGGAATGTGGGGAAGAGCAAAGCCGATGGGGTTGGCAGGGTAGAGGGCAAGGCAAGAGGGAATATTAAGATTTGGAGAGCCACTAGACTGAGAGGGTGAAGCGCAATTGCTGCTGCCTTCCATCCTCAGCTAAATTGCAAGTGTGTCACGGAAATGAAAATGGCTGCCACCACACCAGAATGGGTGCAGTATGTGTTTCCTTAACTGAGGGAGGGGTGCCACATTTGTGTGATATGAGGCCCTTCAAAGGACAACTGCAGTTAACAACCAGTCACACAGTACAAGTGAAGGACAGCTGTGATCACAAAATAATGTAAGTGCAGTTTACACATCAACCTACTATCTCAACTAAAAATTCTGGTCCCAAGCACTCTTGACCACATCATTCAACATTATGAATCAATTATACTAATGACTATGAGGTACAACAACATTTCTGGGACCTGGAAAGATTCATCTTCATTGCTAAAGTCCTACGGCCTGCACAAGATACAGAAGCTGCTCATTTGTTGACATCGGTTTTTTGTCTGGTTTTGCATTTTGAATATTGTTCTACATTAAAGACATGATGCAAATGCAAATTGTTTAACACATCTGTCTGAATGAACTAGTTCTTGTTCTTGGTATTCATTAATATGTTAGTCATAGATCTGCCCATGATGAGTCAAAAGGTCAAAGTCTGAAATATGAAGTGGGCTTCTTTAAGGGAAGTTGTGGAGTGAGGTAGAATTTCTGTCTAAGTGACCCTCACATCAGGTGTATTTCCACAATATGAGCAGACTCCTGTGCAATTTTCAGCATTGAGGAGACATTCACCTTAAGGTTATTCATACAGCTCTTGGATCAAGAGGATTTAGAATGGGGATCAATCCTGCCTTTAATTCACATTGCCCTACTAACATGAACCAATTTCTAGGCATATGCTTAAGTCAAAATCATCAATGCATATACACATTGGGAACAAAAGTGAATCATTCACTAACCCTGAAAGGTATTGCTTCTATCCCTTTTCTATTCAAAGCAACGCCTTGAAACCCTAACCTTTTGTTCCCTATTATTTCTCCAATTCCAGATCCAGGCTCCGATACTTCCCCATAGATTATATGACAGAATTTTTCATACAAGTTTCTTGTAGGCCACCTTATCTAATGATGTTCTAACAATTTAGAGATATGATTGCATTTCCTTCATCTACCTAAACATACATATTCAAACATGACTTTCTTTGATAAATTCAT